TGTTCGAATTGCTCCATTGCGTTATTAATGTAGGACAGCAGATGTCCTTGTAAGGCCGCTGCGTCATCTACGGTGGCGCGTATAGCTGCCGATCGCGGCTCAGCCCTGATTCCTTTGGCGCGATCATGCAGATGAGCGGAACCACTGGGACCTAGTGACATCCGTTAAATGCCGATCTAGGCGTCTGAGTCTACCTCGGATTCCGCTGAGGCATACTACGACGAGCCGGTGAAGTATTATTCCGTCATGTCCGCGATCGTGGTACTCGCTCGATCTTCAATCTTGTATTTCTGTGATAGGGATCAGCTTCTCGTAAAACGATCGACATGCGCAGGTAATTTAATCTTGATCAAAAGCCAGCAACCTTTTCACATCGATCATCTCCGCCACAAATACAGCTTCATGTAAACGTCGCATGATACCATATATTTCTTCCAGCATGTTCGATGCACTTGCCGGGGTCGATACCGGACCCTGAATCTCGTCGATCAGTTCTGGCATCAGCACTTGGAGTACTAGGTCGCTTGAAAGTAGATTCTTGAGCATCTTCCAGTCGTACATCTTGGCCAGTTCTTCATATTGCCACCCTTCCATCTTGATCTCTTCTTCCACTAACTTGAACGGTCTCGTTATCTTGTTCTCAACTTGATCACGTTGATCGGGCTCGGTAGCTGTTTCTTTCCCCTCACAGTCCTCGATCCATCTTTTCTCGAGATCGCGGGTGTGACTTTAAGCAACTTTTGCTCGGTTTCAACAGATGGGTTTTCACCCTGCGAATCATGCTTTGTAGCACGATACGCGGTAGTTCTCCGAAGGGAACTTAGGAGGGGGTCGAGGTTTTTCTTCCATATAGAGCTATCGATTTTCCTCATTTATTTTCTGGTCATTACAGCCCCTCCCAGAACTCTGATGAACTGGAAATAATATAAACTCACGCTTCTGTGGCAATTCCTTGGCCTTCGACGCTTACAACCCAGGTTCATTTTTTATCTTAACATCTTAACTTAAAGACTCACGGTGAAATCCCGATTCAATAGAAGATCCGGGCACGCGCACCATTGTGGTGGAGTGGTGATCGCTCTTTTGAGGAGTCGATTCCAACTCTCCACTGGCGACCGGACGACCGACTAGCGGAGGTGTACTCCGATTCCGTGTTCTTGATAGCCTTCCTCATCTTATGTACCTATCGGTGGGGCGGGTTGCAACCTTCCAGGTGGACTCGTGTCAATGGAAAACTTGACCGTGTTTGCAATGGGGTCGAGTTCAATCACGGTGTGGAAATCTTCACACCGCGATCAGGGTTGGTGTTATCACGTGGGATTCGTCACGCGATCACTTGTATGTTTGTGGGGTGCTCGATATGAGTCAACCTGATCTGTAACCGATCACATTATCCAAATGTAGACCTTAATTTGCGAGCCTTCTGACCACTTGAGCCGTCTCGCGATCTTGGGTCCTCAAACACAAAGGGTTTCCTGCGTCCAGTCGCAGTTGGGGTGTTGTTTGAGAGATCTTGATCCCTGGCCAAACAATCCAGGGATATCACTTGATTAAAGTATGTAAACGTTTCCTTGACGTCGGGTGGCCAATGACCCACCCGGAGGAGAAGTCGACACGTGTACTTTGAAGCAAATTGAACTCTGTTTAATGTTAACCAATCAAACCCAACAACCCTATCCCTATCTCCATGTCTTGGACATCGTTTGCCACATGTCGCTCTCTCTAGACGGTATCGATCTTGTACTTGCGTGGCCCACACCTGATATGCTTGTTTGATCGCGATCACTTACCTGATCAATGATCACGATCTCGATCGCTTCCTTGATCGCGATTACCTTGCTCATCGCTAGATCGACTGACCGCCAACGTTACCTTCCGCCTCATACCTTGACCGAAGATCGCAGGTCCTAACCTGCCCGATCCGATATCCATTTTAGTCTGACTGTCCCATGGACGCGATCTGACGAGATGTGGGACCGGGTAGCCAACCGTTGACTGGCTCGAACATAACGGAGATGCGATCAGTTTCTCTACAGCGAATTTCTATAGTAGCGTTACCACACCTTCCTTGCCGACATAGCAACGAAGTACTGGAATTTCGAGCGCACAGAAGACACACTTCTTCGGATTTGCGTATAATATTTTCTCGCGCTTCACTCGAAATAGCTGTTTTAAGTTTCGAAGGTATACTTCCGTAGCGGTGAGATGTTGCTCAGCGCGGTAATGTTTGAAAATGTCGTCGAATTAGCTTGGTGCAAAATTGCGTAGTGGGCGAAGTAATTGTGTCACCATCCGATTAAACGTATATGAAGCTTTCATGATACCTTGTGTCATAACTAGCCACTCCCATAAAATCCCGCTTGGGTGCTAACCGCATTGAATGAAAATCTATTTGTCTCTCGTTAGGATTTGATAAAACCCGTCTGTCAAATCGATGGCACTGAGAATCTCGCTGCCGGACATGGTATCCAATATAATGTCCATGCGTAAAATTGGCGTTTGAGCCGAAATCGTGGCGTTAATCATCTTGTTAAAAGCGTGCAATATGCGCAAACCGCCGGTGGCTTTCTTAAAATAGAAAGTCGGACTCGAATGCGGCAAGGAACTTTCGCGAACATAGCCTGCTTTACGGCATCCCTTATAAAATATCGATCCCGATGACTTGATCACGGAGTAACGGCCACTGCCGTAATACGCAATCTTTCGATCCAGGCACGATATCAATCTCTTGCCGCACTCCACGATCGGCTGGAAGCTCAGCGGGGATGGTCTTCGGAAAGATACCGGCATACTCACAAGCGGTATCGTAGACAGGGTTGCCCGTCGCACGAAGGTCTTCCTACGACTGTGCCGCAAAACGTTCCCAACGCGCTAATTTGCGCTCGGCACTCTTTGGGCGAGCCTTCAAAAATTCTTCTGTGGTTGTTTTAGCGGTAGAAATGATACACAATTGCTCAATATCACCTGACTTATGGTCTTGGAGAAAATCTTTCCATGGTGGGCCTGATAGAGATGTGATATCTGTAGTAGTACACGGAGGGCTCGCTGCCTGTGATGTAGCGGTCGCGGTGTGGAGACCCTTCCGCATATTTGAACGCGCATATGGATTCCGTTACCACGAATTTTGTGTGGTCATCTTGTCGACATGAATGTTGTCGCCCGGCGATCGGCGTGCTCCTTTCTTGTGTTTACACTGTTTCTTACGGCTCGAGCCACTACTTGAGACCGACACGTTAACGTCGCTGGAGGATGATATACCCCGCTAGACGTGGGGGCTCTGTCCCCACCACGTCGTTTACATAAGGACCCACAGTCCGCTCATTCACGTCGATTAGAGACGAAAGCTAGTCATCGACCGCCCCAGATATACGCGTAACCCCCTGCTCGACCGCCGTGATGGGAATCGGTAGCCTCTACTAAGCCGAAGTAGAAGTGTACGGGAGACCCTGCTCGACCGCCTCGAGATTGATCGGGAGCATCTGCTTTGCCTATTTGTTAGTATGCGGGAGCCACTGCTCGACCGCCTCGCTTGAAATCGGGAACCCCTGTTTAACCGATGTTTTTGTATGCGAGAACCTCTGTTTACCGCCTCGCTGTGATCGGAAGCCTCTGCTCGACCTATGTCTGAACGTTCAGGAACCTCTGCCCGACAGCCTCGTGGTGTGGTTCTGTCAGTGTGACTGAGCACATCGGTCACAGAGGGCCATCGCTATCTCTGTGTTGATCTCAGTCATGGATAATTATTCCACGACCCTGACGTAAGTCCAATCGGATGACGCAACTACCAAATGAGTAAACACCTCACTCACGTCATATTCGCTGCGTCATTTGAGGTACCGAGATAGCCGATCTATAGTCGCATGATACCGTGACAGCCGTGGTATCCCCAAGATGCAACCGAATGCGTAGTTTATCTCGTACATCAACAATACATCAATTCTATGAAAGCCATCAAACGTACACGGCAGAACCAGTGTCCTGAGCGGGACACGATACGATTGTCAATCAGCAAGTTTAATAACGATGCCACCTGGACCTTCTCAAGCCGTAATCCCGGACGGGAGAAGGTAAAACATGATGCCCGAAAGAAGTTGTTGGATGCACCCGAATCCAACAAAGCTCGGAGTGATCGCTTCACTCCATCGACGACAAGACTGATGATGATCAGTCTCGAGTCGCCGCGTGTGGTGGTGGCATTGAAGTGAGTGTGTGCTACTTTTAGTCTGGAAGCCCGAGCTACCACATGAGTACCCGGAGCTCAATTTCTGCCAGTAGGGCGCCCCGCACCTACTGGAACCGCTCGTTCTTTGGAGGGTCACCGACAACACAGTGTCTCCACGTGGGACAGCTACATTCATGGTCACCAGCACTGGCGCTAGGTAGGCGGTCGCACGATGACCTGTCTTGCCGCACCGAAAACGCTCCATCATGTTTCGACTGCGATCGTCGCAGCCAGAGTGATAGCTGGGACCACGTGATACATCAATCGCATATTTAAATGGGCACTGGGACAGACGTGCGTGAACGTTGCGATGCTGCGTAAAAGTATGACGACGTGATCGTGTAAGCTTCACGGAGCGCACGCATACATGGATCCTCGAGAGTCTCCGGTTCATCACGTGTGAGGCAGTAACGTGTCATTCCCTCCTGCATACCAAGGACATTGATGTGGACTTATGAGGCCATGTCATCTAATTGATTTTTAGTATACGACGCGATATGTCGTGTTGTCTGCACGTAGTCATGCATCGATAGCTTTTTAAGTTAAAGATGTAAGAACCCAGCGCGCAAACAAGACTCATCTTTAGGTATATCGAACGAAAGTCGTAAGTCACGCTGGATTGTCCAGCGTGGGAAACGCCGAATCATCCGCGACGAGTTTCCCGAGGGTCCATTCTTTCGCTTTACCAACAAGCCGTGACTGCAGGAAGTTCCCCTTCGTGATAGGAGCGTCAATTAACCTTGACGCTATCGCGATATCGATCTCTCGAAATCAGCGACTAAGGGGGACGATCCGATTTATCACCCGAGTACGTGTACGTCTTTATCGTGATCGCGTCATGATGGTAGGTGCGCGAGGGAGCCTGCACCCGTCGATTCGCTTCGGCGAGCTCCCGCACCATGTAGTCTTTATTGGCAGCACGGTGTTGCTCGGGCGTCGCTGTGCTCAGCAGCGACGTTACAAAGCTTTCACCAGACACCTCCGCAAGGCAGTGTAATGCTTGCCATTCCATGATAGCAAGATGTGGTAAGTCGGCATGCGCCAGCGAAACCGCAGGAGCGATCAAATACTCGTCCATGCTCATCGCGAACTTGGCCATGGAAAGGACTACTAAGTGCTACCAGGTGTAAAGAGGTGATAGCCGCGATACCGACTTACACTAAATGCTTTGAGGAAGCGCTGTTGTTTGTATATAGCAAAATAAAATCTGTTTTTTTCTTTATTTGAAATCTATACTAAGCACGAGGAGTTCCCTTCTCGTGAGAACCACTCAAAGTAGGTCAATTTACTATTGGCTAATTATTGGGTCTGGCACCACGATAATAGTGCAATATTAAAATAAGGTGCTGTATCCGCTATTCGGATACAGAATGTACCTACATATGTCGTTATGTAATAAAGCTATAGCTACTTCATATATTATTTGCCCCATTGCAATATTCCTGTTGCCGCCGCTTGTATATCATGGATCTGTAAAAAATATCTACCGGTCAGGATTTTTGACAGTCAAAAATACGGCAGTAAAGGCTTTGCAGCAGTACGCTAGGAATTATACTTTAGCGTGACCCACAGCCGTTTAAATGGTTTCAAGCGCAGATTTCTCACATTTTCGCAGGAAAAATATTTAAAGAGATCCCACACTAGACACACCAATGCGAGATCGCGCAACAAAAATGAATTACTTTTTATACGAGCTCGGGTTGATAGATAAAAAGCCCGCCTCAGACGAAAGTACTTGGTCAACGATTTGTGGGAACGACTGCCACACCGGCCTCTACCGTTGTATCAGCAACAGTATACTCTCACCGCTTTCGGTGGCGCGTAGTGCGTCGCAAGTCGTTCAAGTTTTTAATATTGAAGGCTCACAGGTGTATGTATCAAGATTGATATAATTTTCGAATATATGTGCGTATCAAAGTCATATACAGCAGGTCATTATCTGGTTTTTTGTCTAATTGTGATTTAAATAGGTTATTATTTATCCTTTTAATGAGACGGGTTTCCTTATTAATGCATAGGATGTCTAAAATATCGTTTAGATGACAAACAGAAAGGCATTTAGTATAAAGCACACACAAATCTCCTCTGCAGCGCATGCAGGGCTAGTAAATTTATCTACGGTTAAAGTGAGCGAAGAGAAACTATATGGACACCTTTTTGAAAGCCTGATCTAATAAAGAACTAAACTTGCCGTCATCATGATATATACAAATTACTACACATGCAAGAATAATAACTACAGTCTTTCGCTTCTGCATCTTGTTGATTTTCTATACTGATCAAAGTTTTACTGCTATGATGAAAATTTGGACCGTGAATCATTTGTGGACTAAAAATAATGATACATGAGATATGCATGATTGCCCAGTACATCCAAAAAATTGTTTGTTAGAAGCAACCTTTGACTGATCAGTTCCATCGTGGGGACGTGCATTCGAGCATTGATTATTAAATGCAGCTTTCACATCACGAGCAGCATCATCACCCGATTCAAACAAATTTAACGGGTTTCAGCGAAGAGATACAAACAGCCTTTATGTAATAATTGAAGGCTATTGTTCATGCGCCTAAAAAGAGACTTTATTGAACTTTAGCAGAAGCTCCTATGCTTGCAGGATATAATTTTTCTCTTTCGCTACTATATGTATTAAACATTTATTTATAAATTCCAAAAAGATTTTAATAGGAATCCAACACTACCGCGTACCTCAAAAGAACAAGTTGTCTTGTTGCCAACACTGGGCAACATTCAGCATTAACTGATACCATCATTTTATACATACGGTCACCTCTCGATTTTAAGCTTCGCGCCACACGTAGATATAAGGTTGACTTAAAAGCGCAAACAGCACTCTCCTCGATGTCAACAAACGTATTTTCGAGGTAACGATAATTATTACCAGATCTGATTAAAGCTATGGCAAAGACAGAGTCTATATACTTACAAACTGAAGTGGCGAGACTTTTTTTGGTGTATCGCAAGATCTCTCGTCACGCGCTGATGCTGCTCAAGAAACAGTACCTGCTATCTTTGTATCGCGAAAACCACTTTAAAAGTATTGGATATTACGCGGGAATATACGTCATCTACTACGCGCAAGTCATCTTCAGACAAATTTACAAAAATGCACTTCGAATTTAGCGATTTCAAATTAATGGTATCCGAGATATTCCGACGACAACAGCCATGATGTAGATATTTCTGGTATTCTACCTCCGTTAAGCATCTAAAAAAAGGCATTTCGCAAGAGGTTAAACCAAGAAACGACAAGGATTCATACGTCAGGGTCCGAGATTACTGACTGATTTTAAGGAAGATAAAACGCAGTCACTGTCACAGACCTGGTCGCCGCCGGTGCCGATTTCGTTCTCTTGATTTTAGTGATCTATATCAAACCGAGGTTGAGTGTATCACCATTAGCACAGTCCATATGCAAGCATAGGTTACACCGTGTGGTGAGACTCCGGCGTTGCGTGGACCTTGACACGGCACACAATTGCAGTCGGTTCAGCCTTTTCAGACCGTAACATTACCGTTGAAGCCTCAGGTACCATTGACACGGCGTCAATATTTCTCTTGCGCTACAGTAAAAATCCATTCTCCTCAACCTAGGACACGTGGTTTAATGTTACCTCGGAAATGCATATGTAATGCACTTATTCTGTAATTTGTATGAATTGCAGCGACCTAGTTATGTTACAGGTGCATTTCTTACTATTATATCCTGTAATATATTCGTATTGACGTGTTTTCAATCGAGACCACTGTTTTCATAAAATAATTAGTCTAATATAAAGGCGCTGAAGTATTAAGCTAAATTTTGTAGTATTTAGCACCCTCATGTGCATACATGTCTTTCTTTAGCAACTAAGACCCTTCGGCGTGTATAGAATTCTTACTTTTTGAGCATGTCACCACTCTTTTATTCCGCAATCCTAGCCGATTATACAACGCCGACACCTATCTTCACTCACGAAGATCATTGAGACCAGACTTACGATCATGGTCGCTACAGTAGCTCTCAATAGCGCACACAGTGATAAAATGTCACCAAGGAGGAATGATCGCTTCATTGTGCTAATTAATTGAAGCTAGATGTAGCGCAAAATTGTAGTATAATGAACAGGGCCGGGACCTATGAAAAGTACTGTGAAGTACGACGCAGAGTATATCAGAATGAATCGTGACCTTCATAGCTTCAACGTCTCCACGGATGATGCTGAACCAGAAATGTGGGAGTTGTGGCCACTCGAGTTGTTGGTGTGTTTATTGCAGTAAAAAAGTAAAACCTAAGTTCATTAACAAACATTCTGTCATTTGATCAAATTTTGTGTGTGTATGTTCCGTTTCAAAAACTGCCCTCTCATTCGTAAGTCTCATGATTTCTTATCTGTCTGTTTTTACTCAAACATGTCTGAGCATTGTTGAAAGGTTGTAAATGATATATTGTAAATGCAACATTTGGATGCACTTGAAACGACTGATGTAGCCCCCAAATTGTCAAAGCCTGACACACAAACAATGTTGCGTATCGCAGACCCACACTTCATAGTTCGCTTACTATTGCAGCTAGGGCTAGGCACAATCGAATAATTGATTTAAATGTTTATGTCAAATATTTTATATTCAAATTTTCGAGGCCTTCAAATATTCGAACAACTCGATTGTCGGGTATTCGAGTGCTCTGGTCGGACATAAGTTCGAAAAGCGACAGAGAATCTTTTTTAATTTGAGCTCTTCGACATACAAAGGTCAAAGATGAAGATCACATGAGATGACTTGGCTTCTCTACGCGTGATACGGTTGGCGACGCAGCGTGCAACCCTAAAGTAAAGCAAATCCCCGATATCTTGCGGTACTGGGCATGTGACCGACATATATGTACCCGTATTTACGTTCGTTTCTACTCACGAAGTACCTCACTTCGCGCCGACTCTTTTGGCTGTGTGTACATGTCATTTATGCAGAGCACGTTCCAGGCCAAGATATATTTCGTCGTTTGGTGCGCCAAGAAGGTAGGCACTAGTTGTGCAATGGGATAGGCGTAAAGACCAGAGCAAGTCGATCGGCACGAGAGCGGTGAGAAATTACGTCACGATGGTTCGCTATGACTTCCGAAGTGGATCAGGCCTCCAAACTATGCACCATCTATCATTTGAAGCAGATGCCAGCTTGACGCGACGCGCATTCCAGTCATCCGGTCAAAAGTAAGCACAAAGTCTACCCCCAAATTTGGTCAGCAGTAATTTACACGTGGTCTTTCGAGAGTGTCCCCCGTGACGTCTGTAGCATCGAGCCAGCAGACCGAGGAACGTGGAAGGAAAATGATCGTGCCTTGGTAGATGACAGAGGTGGTTTACGTCCTTTTTTCGTCTTACAAGTGATAAATAGCTCAAATAGGCGATCTGACTTCTAGAAAATCGAATGTTTAAGCTGCTAAAATTATATTGATCCTTCATCGTAATATTTGCGTGCCTCCCAATTAGGTAAATTTCGAAGTCAGCAACTTGCGCGAATGGTGCGTGCACCCCGCGAAAATAGCTCGTCAGTAACTAACAGGCTTGCCGCGGAGAAAGCTCGTTCCGATCATGTTGAGGTCCCAGGAATGACCAGATAGTCCATTGCCAATTTCGCCAATGTTGGAAAAGTTATTTCTGGTAATTCTCACTACAAAAGTGGCAGTGTCATAGGTTCCTTCTGTGCGCTCCACATATATATGTCAAGATAATTTATGGTACCACAAGGGCCGTCATTGGCTTTTAAACATTCGGCTCTTACACTAATTAGGGATTCAATTTTGCAATACTGTGTTGGCGGCATCCTATACGCTTGTTTCATAGCCTGGGGTGTATTTATGTCGTGCAATTTGAAGATTATCCTCTAGGTCTTCCTTCTTGTGAAGGCCTCATTCTATCGCACAGAGTAGTGGCCGAGACAAAACTGTGGATCGAGCAGAGTCGCCATTGTGCAGCTATAACTTGTAATCTCGTAGTAGCATTCAAAAGTATCCTCGCATTTCAGTCCCTCCTTTCATCTCGTTTGTGATCGTCGAAGTTGCTAAAAAATTATATTACTTTGATCCAATATTTCGGTGTAGA